GGACTGAAGATATAAAGGAGAAGAGAAAGAATGCAAAAAGGAGAACTTTGTGGGAAAACTAAGATAGGATTTATAAACAGAGAGATGTGGCTAATGGAGACTTCTTTATCACAGGTTAAAAGGGAGGAAAAAATAAAAATAAAATGTTCTTTCCCCTTTCTCCATCTGACATGTTCTCACTCATCCTTCAAGCTTACCTCAGACATAATCTCTCTGCTGAAACTTTCTTTGACCTTTCCCCATAGAATTAATTTTTTCTTTATTGACATTCCCTTAGCATTTTAACAATACTTTTGTTTTAGCATTTATAACTTCATATAATAGCTATTTGCTTACACATCTGCCTTCTCCATCAGGAGATAATGGATGTGACATTAATTTTTGTACTTCTGCCACCTAGAATTGATGATGAAAAAATTAATAGTGAGTTTAAGCAGGTGTATATTGTAGGGCCTCAAGAATTTCTCTAGTCTGAAATTAATCTTTACATTTCATGGTTTCAGAATCAGCCAGTGTCTGATTGGGTGGAATAGAGTTTCTGAATCTGGAATTGGACTCCTAAGTCAGTCATTTGGTTTATAATTTGTGTAGAAAAAATGGATCTGGTGTAGCCAGTGTGGACTGAGTCACTAGACCAACAGTTCCATTACTAAATAGAATTGGGAACAGGCTGCAGATACACCCACTGGATCGGTGATTCTGTGGTGCTGACTCAGCTGCAAGTGTGTTAGAGAAGATTTATCCTGGAAGCTGAGTCTGGCATCACAAGTCACAGCTACTTCTATTCTCCATCCAAGCAAACATCCAATAATTAAGACAAGGTAGCTAAACAGAGCATGGGGCTCAGAAATCCGTGGTGGGTTGGGTGTAGAACTCCAAGAAAACAGGATATGATGCCAAGAGCCTAGCAATAAAGAACAGTTTAGTTTCCTGTCCCTGGAAGGACTTTATTTCCTGGTAGAGGTCATGTATTGATCCTAATACTCACACACTAGGCTGGGGTAGTGCAAGCAGCCCCCCCCCCTGCTTAAATACCTACCTGGTGCCAGGCACAAAGGAAAAAGCCGAAGCATGAGAATTGGAGCACAGGGGAGTGGAGCTGGGACTGGGGAATAAAAGAAGAGTCAGGCTCAAGACTGGGGCTCACATATGATCAGAATTTTAGCTATAGGGAAGTTGATGCTGAAATCCAAGTCTACAGCTGGAGCTATCACAAGGACTGGGGTTAGCCATGAGAGTGAGAATGGCAGGTTTCCGCAGATATTAGAAGGAGGGCTGCTGGACTAGAGGTTGGGCAGGCCTGCCAGGAACAGTTCATTTCTGCTGTAAATCCAACTTGTCTTATGACTTTGGGTACATCTCCCTACTTCCAAGGTTTGCATTTTCTCATAAGCAGAATTTTTTAAAAGTCAACACTGGCAAAGCATTTAGTAGGTGGTCTTAGAATGTTCTAAGACTTAAGTGTTTTCTATAACAATCCTTGCACCAGTCCTCTGAGGTAATACTGTGAGAGTGAAACTGGGGAACAGAGAGGTTAAGTGACTTGTGTGGGTAGCAAATCTGGCATTTGAAGCTAGGCAGTTAATTCCAGAATATGTGTACACACACACACACACACACACACACACAAATCTTAATCACTGTGCTGTATTGCTTGCTAAGTGTGTGTCAGGAATGAGAGGGTGGGAAAGAGCAAAATTACCATCATCACTTCACAGAATGTCATGACATTTGAGAAACATCTGCCAAGACCAGACTGACCCACTTTCTTTGGCCATTGACTCTCCTCCAGGTTAGAGAAAGAGCTGGCTAGAAATAAGATCTGATGACTGTGGCCAGAGGCTCTGGCTTCTGTTGTCAGAAATACAGGTGACCTCAAATAAGGCATGGACACAGTGACTAAGTCTTCAACAGGGAAATGCAGGGCTCCTCCTGCCTGAATATTTCTCTGGGTGGATCACTAATGGTGCTATCTGAACACCCTATAGCACAGGTGACACCCTTGGTGGCTAAAAGTTCCACATTGTACTGGACCAGAAGTCAGTGGTTATAGGGCCCATCCTTTGAGAGGCAGTGGTTGGTGGAGAGTCAGTTCTATGACTTTTCAGAGGAGGCAGCAGGTGCCCAGAGTACATGAAGACCTGAGCCAAGTGTACCAGACTTCTTGGTGCCCACACTTATCTTCTTACCATCTCACAGCATGTAGGCCCAACTTACAACTGCCAGCACCTGCATCCTTTTCCCTGTGTACCATTCCCTCCAAGCCCTACTCTGCCTACCTGTATAATAGGCCCAGAATGATGGGGAGTAAATGCCCCAGGAAGTAGTCCTCAACTGGGGACCTAGTGAGGAACTTCCTCACCCTTCAGACATCCCCAATAGGAGTAGCTTCTGTTGCTCCAACTGTTAATTTTCTTGATAACAACCCTTGCAGGGGGAGCTGTTCACATTCTCCTATACTGTCCGGGCTTCCTTGTACCTTCTAAATAGTCAACTTCCACTCAATTAATTGTCTCAGAGTCTGCTTCTGGGGAACACAAATGAAGATACCAGAAGGAACTCTTATTGGCAAATTATATCCTGAAAAACATTCTTCACTATATAATCTCTTGATTCTGGGAGGGAAGCATATTTCAACCTCCAAAGATAGGTATGCTGTAGAAGCAAGACAAGCTCAGAGAAGCCTCATAAGAGGCTTTTAAAACCTAAGTGAAGGCAGGCCTAAGACACTGAATTTATGAATACCTCCAGTACCTCCCAGGCAAAGGTGACCCTGTCTCTTTTACATGAGGGTTCTTCTTGATGCTTCAGTCTTCTCTTGCCACATCCAAATGGAAATTACTTTTCTGCTCCAGTTAGCAACAGTTTCTGCTTTCCAGGTGAATAAACATAATTCTCTGTGGGAGTAAAAGAAGTATCCAAGTCAATTCCCCCAGTTGGTGCATGGTGCCCTCATATTTACCCAGGGCACCCTCTCCTAGCAAGACAGCTCCACACCCTTTGGTTGAATAAAGCCCTCAATCTGCCAATAGCAGGAGTCCAACCACTATTCTCACCTCTGCAGGGCCCAGGTGCAGTTCTTACCCAGGAAAGCTTCCTTGTTTCTACCGCAAATGAAGTTTTGTGCTTTCCCCTCATCTCTTCAGCAACCATGCTTGTGTGTGTGTTTGATTTCCAGTGTCAGTGCACGCAAGGACTCTAGTTTTACCTATGTTCTAACACTCCGAATTGGCTATTATTCATATTTGTTATATAGTCTTCATCTTTTAAAATAAATAATACACCTGAAGCTAGTATAATATTTTATGCCAACTATACTTTAATAAAAAAGCATTAAAAAGAAGAAAAATAAAACATAATAGATAGATAAGGTCCCATTCTCTTTCTTACCTCTCAATGAAGATCAGGAGCTTATCACATATTATTCAAGTGTATTTTTTACACCTACACTGTATGCTCTCAGTTCTTCATCCAGACCTTTCAGATTTTTTCCTGTTCTGTGTTCCCCTTCCCACTTCTGTGCGCTTCTGCTTCTAACGGTCCACAATGAAGACTCTTTGGAAATTACTCATGGGTTCCCGGAATCACTTTGCCTGCAGTCAGAGTCAGGCGTGCAGAACATTTGTATCCTCCAAGGGACCCTTTAGTCAATGACTGTGTGAGAGAATGAAAGTTCAGAGCTTCCCTTATGAACCAGATGAGGCTGCTGGAACTTGGCCTGAAATCACCCTTGCTTGCTTCTGTCCATCCTTTATCCTGCTCCCCTCCTCCCTCATTGGCTTCTTATAGGTGGGTGAGGGGTGGTGCTTCCTTAAAAAATCACTACAGAACTCTGAGAGCCCAAGGACTTGAAATGATCTTGGTTCACATGTATGCATCTGTTCCTGCAGAGGAGGGACATTCTTTCTAAGGTAGATGCTTAGTACAATTGTAGGCTCCCAGGGTACACAGTTTCCACTTTACCAGGTGCCCTCAAATGTGCTTGTACTAATCCACAGCTCCACTAACATTGACTGAGAGTCCCTGTTTCCCCACATTCTTGAAAACCTATATCATTGTCAGACTTAAAGTTTTGCCAATCTGGTGGCTGAAAAGTGGTACACCATTATTTTACTTTGACATCTTGACATATGTTTGTTGCCCTTTCAGTTTACTTCTTCTGTGAATAACCTGCTTCTATCATTCTTCTGTTGTGTTGTTTTCCTTTTTCTATTTGATTTGTAGGAGTTCTAGTATATTCTAGGTGTCTTTTTCTGTTACAAAATTTGAAAACACTGTATCATTTCAAAATAGAAATATAACTTAAAAATAACACTTTTTAAAATATTAAATAATGCAAAATAAAAAAATTAGAAAGTAAAAATTATTTATAATAATTTTCACTATGGCCTCAAGCTTCAACTCTACCTAATGAAAATAAAAGTAACCACTGTTAACATATAGGCATATATCCTTCCAGAATGTAGAATGCATATATAAATATATAAATACATTTGCATGAAATAACTCACAAAATATTATTAGGCATCCATCATGAGTCAAGTATAAATGTTAGCAAAATATATGAATCATTAAAAATATAGACTTACACCAAAACCCTCTCTAACTAGTTTTTCTCAAGACTCAGTTTATTGTAGATATCTTTTTACATTAAAACATATAAATCATCCTGACACAGTGTAATATTCCATTTGAAAGCTCCATCATATTTTATTAAACCAATCTTCCACCAACAAAACTTTTGGCTATTTCTACATTTTGTATTTTATAAAGACACCCTTTAATGAAGAACCTTAAGCATACAACTTTTTGCAGTTGGCTGATTCTTTCTTTAAATTTCTACAACTTGAATTTTTGAACTAAGAAGTGCCCATGTTAGCCCAGCCAGTGTGGCTCACTGGTAGAGCGTCAACCTATGACCCAGGAGGTCACAGTTCAATTTCCGGGTTGTGGGCCCCATCCCCGGTGATGGTGTGCAGGAGGCAGCCAATCAATGATTCTCTCTCATCATTGCTGTGTCTACCTCTCTCTCCCTCTCCCTTCCTCTCTGTGAAATCAGTAAAACATATATTTTCAAAAAAGAAGTCTGAAAAACCTACCCAAAGGTATTATGTTTCAAATATAAAACGAACTCTTCCTAAAGTATCTTACCTATGTGGTGTTCTCTCAACAAAGACCTCTGTCACCTCTAACACAAGGTTTCTTGACCCACCTACACCTCCTTTTGTTCTGCTAACTACACTGGCCTTGATGGGTTCTCCTTCATAGATGCATATTCTGAGTTTCACTTGTTTACTGAAATCTGGAGCTAGACAAACACGTGCTTGTGCGCACACACGCGCGCGCATGCACGCACACACACACGCGCACGCGCACACACACGCACACGCGCACACACAACCAGAAGAGGTGGCAGTAGAATATGAACACCTGGCTTTTCATGCCACAACTCAGGAATCATTTCGAATTTCTAGCTAATTCATTGACTCATATCTACCCCACCTCTTGAGTTGATTCTAAAGAGACATTTTTAAATCAGTGGTCAGGAAAACTTTGGGAAAGAAATTAACAATGTAAGAAGATGAATGCGCTAATTTCCTAATGTGGCAACACGTTCTAACTCATAAAATCTTTCCTTATAAGATCATTGTTCTAGAGCCCTCCTTTCTGAGGGCTCAGAAGGAATTAGCCACATGGGATATCCCTGTTTGCCTCTCTGTGTGGTTCTCCCATTATAACTCTAGGTCTGCTTAACTGAAGATACAATAAGGAGAGCAGGGTAAAGATGGATGGGAATATATCTATGATATTATAAAGTAGAATAGGGAAATGCCTGGGGGTACTGCTGGCCTCCAAAGAAATCCTGGTTTATTTTGAAATAAGTATATATGCTCAATTGATAAGTATTTTAGGAGTAACAGTTGTGATTCATTGCAGGAAACAGAAACCCTTGTGTTATGCAAAAGAAGGAATTTTTATATCATTGGAAGGTAGAAGGAGTAATTTCTAAGCTGCACCCCCATGAATGAGTCATGAAATAAAACAGCACTGACCTACCAAAGTAGCACAGCCTCTGAGTTCACCACTGGAATATTAACTTCAAGAACAGAGCATTATAGCTATGATCCAGGGATCAAAATCAATGAAAACACTGCCTCTGAAGCGGTTGCCACCAGTGCATCTCAGCAGCCTGGAGAATGGATATGGGAACGTCACATATCACAATTCTCCAAAGAAGATATATAAATGGCCAACATGCATATAAAATATGCTCAACATCACTAACCATCAGGGAAATGCAAATCAAAACCACAATGAGATAATCACCTCACACCCATTAGGATGGTCACTAGAGAAAAAAAAAACAGACAATAACAAGTGTGAGTGAGGATGTGGAAAAATTGGGACCTTGTTCACTTGTTAATGAGAATTTATAATGGTGCAGCTTGTATGGAAAAGAGTATAGGAGTTTCTAAAAAAATAATTTTACTTTTGTTAGATGGAGTGTTTTATAGCTGTCAATTAGATCCTGTGGCTAATAGGCTTTTTCAGATCTTCTATATTTTTGCTAATTTTCTGTGTAGTGGTTTCATAAATTATTGAGAGAGGGGTATTGAGATCCCAGTTATGGCGCCGGCCCCAATCGCTCTGTACCGTCAGCTTGTGGGAGCAGCAGCGACAGGAGCAGGGCTGCTGGTGGAGAGGGGACAGGGGCGGGGGGGGGCATGGGGAGAGGCTGAGCAGGGTGTGGAGGATGGGCCAAGACAGCCTTGTGTCCCACAGTTCCTTTCAAGGTGCATGAATTCTTGCACTGGGCCCCTAGTAAAGAACATATCCTGAAAGATAACTTGTAGAGGAGCCCTTTATCAATGATGGGATAAGAGTTAATGGAATTTTGATTCATTATCACGAAGGTAATTCCCATTAGTATATCCACTGTTCTATGATCATTAGGGATATTATATCTATAGGGGTTGAAAAGGAGTTTTAAAGCCAATGTATGGCAGGTTATGTATGTGAAAAAAATCATCAAACTTAAGATTTATTTATTTTATTGTATGTAAGTTATATCTCATTAAGAAAAGTAAATTAAAAAGATATGAAGAAAGCTTATAATAGCATAACCCAGAGTATCCCTTTAAACCAAAATACAGACAGAATGAAGGGACCCAGACACTGTTGATATGAACCTTCCACTAGTCCTTGGTACCCTATTCTGGCAGCAGAAGGGCCATGTACAGCATGGGCATTTAAGAATGTGTGGCATTCCACAAAGGAAGAAAATGGGGCTAATTCAGAAATCTAGCATTATCAGAGATAGTCCCATGTTTGGACAGCCAGTCAGTGTACAGGCTGAGACAGCTTGGGCTGCAAAATGAGGAATCTGTGATACAAATGAATAATCATTGGTCTCACAGAGGCATTGCTCAGCAGTCCACCGGAACAGCTGTGGGTTGTTGCCAACCAGGAAGCATTAGCAGCATGCTTGTGATTCTCTTATCTATATATAAAAAAGCCTAAGGGACTATTACACCAGAATGACCGGGATGACCGGAATGACCAGAACAACTGGTTGCTATGACGTGCACTGAGCAGGCAGGTAGGCGAGTGGTTAGGGGCAAGTGAGCAGTTAGGAGCAAGCAGGCAGGCAGGTGAGTGGTTAGGGGCAAGTGAGCAGTTAGGAGCAAGCAGGCAGGCAGGCAAGCAGCTAGGGGTGAGCGGTTCCAGATTGTGAGAGGGATGTCCTTCTGCCAGATGTCTGACTGCAGGGATCGGGTCTAAACTGGTAGTCAGACATCCCCCTGAGGGGTTCCAGATTGCAAGAGGGTGCAGGCCGGGCTGAGGGACCCCCCAGCCACATGAATTTTGTGCACTGGGCCTCTAGTTATAGT